TATCAGACTGCTGCTGCCCAAGTAGTCCAAGATGATCTCAAAGACATCGGCGTCGGTATTCAAAATCCTGCATCCCTGTACGAGACGCGCGCGCAGTACTGGGCATGCCTTCAGGGCCGAGCCAGGGATATGGATAAAGCGCGCATAGGGTGGTTTACCCACTCGAACTTCGATGTCGTTGGTGTTCGGGACTTTAGTGCGCACCTTCGCTGGAGAAGTATAGACAGTGGCTATATCTGCACTTGAGGAGCTGGTAGAGGACCGTCCGTTAGAGTAAGACTGATCACCTAGTGTCGCCTGAAGTGAAGTGAGCATTGTCGAGATACAATCAGGGGTTTTCTGTTCGGGTTGAAAGCGTGGGATAGAGTTGAATATTGAGGCGGGTAGATCGTGCCACCAATCTCTAATGTTTGTTGGAAGCTGGAGAAGTGAATGAGAAAGTGGTGCAGCATTAATACACATGACCTGTATATGAGATCCCATGGGCAGGGCTGTCAATACGACTTGAGAGGTTCAGGATTCGTGGTTCCTCTGGTTCAGTGGTGAACGAACCAAGGTACATGCTTCGTTAATTATCTACACATTTTGCTTTCTCTCAAGCTGTGTCTGACGTTGGGCGTCGGGAGAAGCTCACAAGTGTTGAACACGTCTCTTCAAGTATAACTCAACATGGTGTAAATGAAGCCGCACAGTCTCCGTACTCATAGAAGCCATATAATACGGGTGCCCTGCGGATGTTGCGAACGCCGAGGATGGATTCAAACACCTTGCGTGAGTAGCACCGCAAACTTCATCCGCTGCGTAATGCTAGCACCTGGGTTGGTCGATCGAACGAACATTCGCGAAGAGTCATTGCACAGCGCGCATGGTGTTGTGGGAGCCACAGCAAAATACTGCTGCGTGACCTATGAGCAGCTCGAAGTTAACAACAACGACTGCTGGATCCCAATTTGGAAGCTCCTCAGAATGCACGGTCCATTTGCGTTGGTAGATAAGGCGGTGCTACGGATACGCAGATGTGATTGTTATGCGAAGGAGTGCACTCTTGATTTGCAAAGTTCCAGTGGTGATGGAGGGTGATGCCCAGGTGTAGAAGAGGGCAGAGGGAACCGGCACGCCGGGGATCCAGGAGACAGATTTGCACGGACCATACGCTAGTCGGCCCGATGCCAAATGCAAACCTCGCGTCATCGCCCCTACATCTCAACCACGCGCAACAGTTACTCGCGCCTCATGTTTGCATCCAAGATTGCCGGGTCATCATTGCGGCCCGCGTGCTACGCGTCTCGGTTGCCGGCGGTTTCTACCTTCCGTCCTGCTGTATCACAACTCCGCCACCTTTCCAAAAATCGCGTACTTCGTGACCAGCAAAGGAATGATGCCCAAAAGCCTACACACGAGCAACCATCTGTCTTGGTAGACGTATCACCGCCCATCGATCATACTACCGAAAACGAAACACCTGAAAGTCCTAGGAGGGTTAGATACCTGCGCCCCGCACTATGGGCTCTTTCGGTATCCTGCGGCATATTCTACGGTCTCGCCTATCTAGAGGCCAAGAGGGAGCTCAAAACAAAGCCGACATCTAGTGGAGGGTGGTTTCAGGCACCGCAATGGAACACAACACAACGCGGACCTCCGACCCCAACTGAAGTCATAACTGGAGCGTGGACCGGTCTCGATCCCATTTCGCGAGTCACGTACGGACTTATCGGGGCCAATAGCGGTGTTCATCTCAGCAGCTTTCTCGTGCCTAAAGCCTGGGATGCACTATGGCATACACCTGCTCGCAACGTCAACTACACTCAATTCACATCCATGTTTGTACATGCTGGAGCTTTGCATTTTTTCGTCAACATGTATTTCTTGAACAATTTCATGGCACCAGTCGGATACTCGCGACTGTTCGAGGGTAGCCCATATCATACGTTGTCGTTCTTCCTCTCGGCAGGTGTGCTGTCGGGCTTTGCTCAACACTGGCAGACATGGAGTACCCGCATACCGTTCCATCGACGGCCCATCCCCGAGATCTTCATCAAGTCCGGAGGTGCATCAGGAGCACTTTTTGGAATCTTGGGGGTGTTCTGCATGCAATACCCGAACGCTGGAATAGGGATATTGTTCATTCCAGTACACTTTGATGCGCAATATGTACTGCCTGCGATCCTTCTTTTCGATCTCGTTGGCATCATTCGCGGTTACAGCTTCGTGAACTTTGGCCACGCAGTAAGTTCAACGCGCATGACTCCACGGGACTTACTAACATCATTAGGCTCACTTCGCCGGCGGGATGCTTGGCATAGCATATTCATACTTTGATGGTAAAACAAACCTTTGGAAACCGCTAGTGCGCCACTGGAGACGCCGCCTACAGTCCTAGATCGTTGGGGGATTGAAAATCATGAAGGACGAATCAAACGACCAGTTGGAAAGCTGCAAACTTTCACACAATGTACAACGGCGTCGAAAGTCCTAACAAGCCACATCCACGATGGACACTCCTCTCAGTACATGCATTAGGACAAAGAACACAAACCTTTTCAAACTCCACATCTGTCCAATGGATGTGCAGTCGTATCTACACCGGAAACATCAGACGATGCATTTCTTTCATGTGGTACAAACCGATGATGCTGTGGCCGATAGCTTATAAGAGCAGGAATCTCACAAGCCCATTGTCTTCTCGAAAAAGACATCGCAACCATCAGAGACTCACACGACCATCCGACACCAAAACATGCCTTTCAAGATACCGAATGACGGTGTCACTATTACGGTCAAATCCGACAACGGGCACCTTGTTCCGATCGAGCTCAATGATCGCGTACTCAGAAACTGTCCGGTAATCAACGCAATCCCCTCGGGTACCATACTACCAAACGTGCAAGTGAAGCCTTTTCAGGTCGTGACGAGTTATCTGGATGGCGACGATCTCCCGGCGGTCTTCGCGAGTCGCGTCGACAGCAGTGCGCCTTTGCTCCTCTTCGCTCAAACGTGGGCCCTCGCGGCGCGACTTGGTCTTCCTATCTTGCAGAATGAGCTCATATCGGTCGTGACCGACGTTCACGCCAGAATCATTAACGGAAGCGGAACAGACTCGCGCTGGCAGCACACTGCCGATGGGTCTCTTGTCGAAGCTTTCCGGCATCTCCGAGAACAGGTCGGGGCGAACAGTCATGCCGAAAAGTTTCTCATATGCTTTGTTGGCCGCACAGCACTGTTCGTCAGCGAACTGGACCAAAATCTCACCCGCGAACATCTGGACCCTGCTACCCGAAAGGAGATATTGGACGAAGCACGATCCTTCGGTCTGGATCCTATCAAACATCAGCCACAAACGTTCCGTATCAACCCCCAACAGCCACCAAAATATCGACCCCTTGAGCAAGACTGTAACGATACAGGTATGGCTGATGGGTTTTGGTCACCCCCCGGGGCGTCACACTCAATCACCAGGGACGACATGTGGAACCTACCTCCACAACACCGTAAATCTCCGAAACTCATGTACCCGCGGCCACGCAGCCCGCTTTCCAATCGGTTCGACCACGGCTCAGATCCATTGGTATGCACGCAGTCTGGAGACCCCAGTGATCCAGATCCAGGGTACACATCGCAGGCCATCAATTTCGATGATCCCAATCGGCCCACTGGCGATGGAGTTAACGTGATCCGTCTGACAGGTCAAGGCTCAGGCGGCCCACGATCTCTACCCTGCCCGGCCAACTATCATCATGACACCACATTACCCTACATCATCCAAATTACGCAGCACAACGATAACGCTCATGGAAACGGAAACTACACTCACTATGGCGACAAAAACAGTACGACTGCACATGCTCAGGGTGGTGGTACTGGACGCTCAAACCGGACTGTACGAGCAGTAGCGGATAGCGGAGAACGGCGCTACAAGCTCATTAGGGAAAGGAAGGGAAAGCAATCCAAATGGTTTTCGCTCTTGGCATACGGCAGCAAGTACTATTAGAAGCGAAGTGCGTGTTGCGAATGCCTTTGGTTTTATTGGTAGACTGTTTGTTCACGTTCGCACATCCCGATGCGTCATTCTTATGTAGCTCCAATCAATAACTCGCTTATCAATCAAGACCTTTTGTTACCATGGAACGTTCAATCTTTATGCGCGATACCACACCCCAAAGAACCAACTCCTGACCCTCTCCCTCTTGCTCATCCTGCTTTTCGCACTACCCATCTTTAGCTTATCGCTTTCCTGACGAATTAGCTCTATGCTATTGACGGTGCGCAAGGCAAGACCACCCAGGCCTTCGATATCCACCTCTTCTTCGCCCTCTTCCGGGAACGCCTCATTGCACACGTTTTCTAGATCGCTCTGACGAGAACAAAATCCAATCCTCGTTCTCTTTCGTCTCTCGACGACGAGACTGTCGATTGCACGGAGAGCTAGGGAAGAGGTGACTTCAGCGTCTTCGATCTCCTCTTCAGTTATGTTGTATCGTGTCTCTGGTCGTGGAAACGAAGGCGCTCTTGCGTGACAGCGTGTGAGTGGGTATGTAGAGGCGTGGACACGGCTGTGTGCGGAGTCGGTTGGAGATGACATGCCTGCGTGATGTGCGCTTGATCTTTGGATTTTGGAATTTGAAAGTGCTCGGTAGTAGTTGGAAGTTGATATGGCTGCCGCTTTGATCAAGGCGGGAGATAACCGGTAGCGTGGAGGGCTGAGATTAAGTAGAGTGTAGCAGAGGAAGAAGGGATGCTGAGATGAGAGAATTAGAATTGAGAGAAAGAGCAGACGATTTATAGCAGATTAAAGAGTCAGAGCCTGGGGCTTCTTTTTCTTTCAAACTATGGGAGCCATGATGATGCTACCTTGGTTTGATTTTTCCATATGCCCATACATTGGTTCCAAACATGCCATCTCTTATTTCACATTACTCATCCCTCATCTCTCATTGGAAGCGCGAACTTTACGTCAGATGTACCGACTGTACGCCAAAACAGCCACTCGTATGGTACGAGCCTCAAAGCACGCGTCGCATCTCATCAGATATCGGGAAGTCAACGTCGGCTCCCGCTAACTTGATGCCAAGCGCCCTAACCTTCTCTTTCAGTTGCTTCTGTAACTGTGCAGGCATGGAAGGCAGCCCACCAAGTTCTTTAACCTTCTCTCTAATCTCGGAAGGTAGCAGTGTCAGGTAGTCCATGTCGGGTGAGCTCATCATCTGCCTAAACTTCTCGTCAAGCATTCCTTCGAAATCTTCCGCGTTCAGCCCATATGAAGAGCTGCAAAGATGCTCCGTGGGGATATCAGTATAGCCTAGTCCACGTAGCGTCTGACATGCGAGTATCTTCATCTGCTGTTCACATGATGTGCAGTACCAGCGCGACACCTTCTCCACACCGAGCTTCTTTACACATGACTTGTGAAAGTACGTAGTAGTACAGTCGCGATGTGAGCAAACGACAGTGTCCTTCGCGAGTAATCCGCCCTTTGGTGCAGTAGCACGACAGTAGCAAATGCGCTCCGTACCTGGACGCTCGAGTTCGTTGTGCTGGATATCCTGTAACATGACCTGAGTGAGCTCCTGCTTGTTGAATCCGTTCTTTGCGTAAAGTCGCTCGAATCGAAGCTCTTGAGCCATTAGTGCGCCAGGATTGAAGCCATTCTTAACGTCGTCGTACTCCTTCTGCAGACGATCAGGTATGCCATCTGGGTTGCGATTGCGCGCTCGTATAGCAGGGTCTTCGATGAGATAGTTGATCAGGTCATCGTCTACTAGCATCAAGCGGCCTTTGGTCCGATGATCCTTCTCGTACAGTGATAGTAGTTTCTCTCCACGGAGGCGGTTGAAAGGCCCGGTGCTACATAAGTCTAGGCATGGCATCACCAGGTAGCATTGATCTCCCAGAGGATCAACACAGGGACAGTCTACGTCAGAGTCAGTATCTGCTGCTAAGTGCCAGTTACGATGCACTTACGAGGCTCATGGAAGGGACAATCAAGAATGTCATTGTTCTCAAACGAACATGATGTGCTGTGTGAACAACCATCCCATGACGGCGGGAACGGATTTGTGAGTTGATCGCTAATAAATTTGCGTACAAACCTAATCCAGTGCATGTGCTTGCCGTGTTTTGTGACAGGTAGTAGAGGTTCAGGCAGAGGTACTGGAGACACTCCCTTAGCGAATGTCGCGTCCGTGGAGATTGGCTCTGATACTACCTCAGTGGAAGCATCGTGATCATTGGCGCTCTCCGTGTACGATAGCACATCTTGAGAACTATCGCGGTCCTTGTTGTAAAGTATAGTCTCAGGTAGCATGGGAGCAGATTGTGCTAAGACGTCACCCACGTCATAGACGTCTTCAGTGGCTTCGTTTCGGAGATCAGGAAGACTGATAGCTGCCTCCGGTATAGACTGCTTCTTTGCCTTGCGCTTCGCCTCTCGTGCCTTCTTAGCCTTCTTCTTCTGCGAGATTGCGGGATGGCCGTTGACAGAGTCTTCCGTCTCGGTCGTAAAACTCTCGGGTGCTGACATACCCCAAGCCTTTGGAGGCTTTACTGCTGGAGCTGGGCTATAAGGCTCATCTGAAGAGCTCCGCGAGGCTGAGAGGTTTGGGAAGTCGCGCGAATCGGAAAGCCATGGAGTCGGTCCAGGCCGAGGAGCACGAGCCGGGGGCTTACTTGGAATGTTACCCCAAGCGCGCGTCTTTGCTACCGATTTTGTTGGCGTCAATCCATTCGTGACGACTTGCCATCCATCAAGAGCTTGTTGTGACTTCTTGATCCGGCCAGGCACTGTAGTCGGCCCCCGCTCTGAAGCCTTGACGTTGATCACCAGAACCGCAGCCGACTGTCTGTTCAAGGTTGGGGCGGGTGGCAAAGGTAATAGCGGAGTATGATAGGGCTCGATATCTGCATGGTAGAGTCCATCGTCGCCGCTCACGCGCTTGTGGTTGCTCTCAAGATGCCTTCGGTCGGAGATGTCAAGGGTACTAGACCGCGGCGGCGACTGGTCATCGTCCTGATCACTGGACTTCTGTCAGTTTTGAAAATAAATGAATTGCGCAACGAAGTTGGCCAGCGTCTTGTCGCAATTTTGCGGGACTAAATGAGGGCAAGGGCAACGAACCTGACCAGTGGAGCAGTCTCATCCGTGGGGGTGATACCGCCACTGAAATCACTCAGACTAGACGCGAACTTCTCTCCAGTTTTCCAGTCCTTTCCAGTATACCTCTCTTCTACAATACCGTACGCGGTTTTACTCGTGTATCGGAGATAGCCTGCTCGTCGCATTCGCACTTCGGCAGTGTCTTTCTTGACCAGAACGATGTCCTCCAGGACGGCGTGCTTGAACGTTTCGACGAGGCCTTGGAACATCTTGAGTTCTTTGCCTTGTAGACCCTTCGTTTTGGTGTTACGCCTGAGTAGCTCGTTGATACGGAAGGTTTCCAAGATGCGGTCCATTTCGGCTTCGAAGTCAACGTTCAAAGACTCGACAGGCGCCTCGGCGAGCTTTCTGATTCCCTTGCGGCCGACTTGCGTGCTGTATACATGGGCGTGGTACTGTGGAGTAGTCAGTAATTTGACGGGGTAGATACCAAAACAACAGACTCGGTACCTACACGAAGCTGTCGCTCAATCTCCTCGATCTCTTCCGGATTCCGCGGCCCGTCCGCGTCGTTGCTCGTTATGCCCTCAACTGAATGTACAACGGAGTCAATGTATCTAATCTCCTCCTGCGTAATGACTCTAGATCTACTAGCCGCTCTCGCCAGACGCTTTGCATCCTTTCGCTCACGCTTTGAGGATGGAGTGTCCTCATCGCCGAGATCTCTCGCTATTCCATGTTCTTCTAGCTCAGATTCGTCCGGCACGATGTTCCAGTCGATCTCGCCACAACTCTCATAGACGGCTCGTAAGCGCTCGGCAATGTCGTGATGACGCTTGTAGTGTTGCTCATCAATGCCCATGCAGTACTTGCAAGTATGACCGCGAAGTCGCATGAACATAGCCTGGAGAGGTTAGTGCATCGTTCGCCTTGGGTATATCCCATGCAACTAACCTGGTGGAAGCGCACGCATGGCTCGCTGTGCTTGCCGAAACAAGACGCCCTCGCGCCAGGGTGGCTCAACGGACGCTCGCAAAAGCCGCAGTGGTGTCTATTGGACTATCATTAGCGACCGTCTGCTTTGGGTGGTTGCCTCCGGACTGCGTTCCGGTGGCCCAAACAAACAAACACCGGGCTCAGCAACTCACTTGAGCGCCTCCGAATCCTCCCACTTGAAAAGAAGACTGTTGACCATGTTAATTCTGTTTGCGCTTTCGAGATCGATCGCGACCTGGGTAGGCTGATGGCGGGAAGGCAGAGCCGCTAGGATTGGATGCTTTGAGAGTGTGAGCGAGAAATGCACGCGCGATTGAGAGGATAATTCTGCTTGGACACGGAGTGCAGTAGAGAAGACGCGCAATTGTTTGGGATTGTGCGTGGCAACGTAGCGGGGCGAGGTGCAATGGCTGTTGACTGGTGTAACAGCGCATCCAGGGTTGCTCCGACGCTGGCTACGTAATTGTGCGGAAAGAGCGAGTGACTGCGACAACACAACAATGAAAGATTTCTGTAGAGACAGCGACCAACAAGACTTGCGCAAATATCAATTGTGTTCGATCAAAAAGAGTGCCTCCGCGTCGTTGTAAGGAAACGACTCGTCGTCGTTGCGGTGAAGAATGCAGTGAACCGACCATCCGCGAGGTTTCGCGTTGTTGCATCATAACGGCCAGGATTAGACAGGATTTTGACGCCATGCAAACGCGAAGACCACGAATCAAGTACCACTATTAAACATCCGACACAATACGCGCACCTGCCCAGACATAGGGATAGTTGCGTTGATACCAGTTGACGCTTCGACACGTTAGTCATGTGGCCTCATCTGCAGCCACTGTCGCCCACTTACAAGGTCTTACGCCCAGCGATGCGCGGATGCGTCGCCCATGATCCACCCAACGTGACGTTGTGTTTACCGTCGAAGAAATCGGCTGCCTGCTGTCAGCGATACCATCTCATCATGTGTTGAGGAGCAGAAGCCCGTCACATCGCATCATACCTGTATAGCCTGGATACAACTCCATCGGCTCGAAGCCATCATGCTTCTCCAGCACAGTGCTAGTCCACTCCCAAACACCACCCAGGTCAGATTGGCCGCAGAGCTTGTTGCCCTTCTCGGCCACTGAAACTGGATGCCAGTGTTTGAAGCCCACGTTCGTTCCCTCAAGGTCAACGAAAAGATTGCGTGGGTTGAGACTAGATACTGCGCCAGAGTCGCCGTTTGACAAAGTTCGGGATGGTGGTGTCTCAAAAACGCCTTCGTTGATCAAATGGCTGCAGACTGTTAGTCAAGAGTCTACGAGAATGGATAACAGGCATCATACCCGTTCACGGCTGGAATCCTGTTTCCAAGCGAGCTCTCAAATTCCGGCTTCATGCTGTCGACATAGCTGTAGATGCTTCGTGCTTCTTCCATGGTAGGAATGCGACCGCCCATCCAATGCGCACAACCAGCTAATTCGTCGTAGGAGGCGACTACAGGCCATCCCATGACAAATTTCAAGGGAACAGTGCCGTAGACAGTGCGTACAAATTTCCCTTCGGTGATGCTCTGAGGTGATGCATTAACACCTTCATGGTGGCCGTTTACCACGCTGTCTCTCTTTCCAGTGGTCAGGTCCTTGGCGTTTGAGTATGGCTGTTCGCACCACGACGCAGGTATGGCTGGATTCGACAAGTTAGCAGACGAGCTCAAGCTTTTGAGCAATACACGCGAAAACTCCCGCTGCAAAGATTACATACCTGTCTTTCCTGTCTTAGACAGATATGTGGCATACTCCCCATTTGTGATTGGCCGAGCCTTTGCGCGGAAGGACTTGACATGTGCTGAGCGGTGAGGCCTCTCGTTATCCCAGCCAAAGTAACGCTTGGTCTCAAAGTCATTCTCTGGGTCTTCGAGACCGATGTCGATGTCCGCTTCGGGAATTGTGAACCACTCGTTAGCGGTTGCTAGGGTCTCAGATTGCGCCGCAAACGCCGAAAAGTCCGGGAGTTTGGTTCCTGGAGGTGGCAAGACCTTGTCACTCTGGATCAGCATATAGAGCAATGTCTCCAGGTGCATGGCTTCATGTTCAAAGCCAATCCACAGTGCTCGCGACACGCGACCGTTCGACTCTGCTTCTCCCGAAGTGTACAGCGCCTCAACCTTTTGTCGCACAGTCTCTTGAAACTTCAGGATTGTCTCCAGCGGGGGCCACGCTTCGGGAACCTCGGAGTGAGCATGACATTGAGTTGGGTCTTCAACATCAGGGTCAACACCACGTTCAAAGATCTTCCAGAAGTAGGCGGGGTCTGACGGCTTGCCATCAGTGGCACGGGCGATGTGGATGTCCAAGAATGTAGGAATGTGGCCAAGGTAGAAGATGCACTCGTTGCGAAGCTTGATCGGCTTAGATAGTAGCTCTTCTTCGGGTATCATGTCCTTCGTGACCGCGTCCCAGGCCGTCCAAAGCTCACGCCACTCGGTCAAAGATGGCACCGGCTTCGCTGCGTATTCCTCAGGTTTGGTAGGGAAGAACATTGCAGGCTTCGAGACGAAATGCAGGCCGTAATCGCCCTTCGAGTTGGTCCACACAACGTTCTCTGCGAGTTTGGCCAATTCCCAGAGCTCCTTTGCTTCCTCGCGACTGTACTTGTAGGATTCTTCGATACGAACTCTCTCGCCCTGCTTGATATGAACACCGTCGACGACAGTGTCTTTGCGTGGTGCGACAAAAGCGTGATGTCTTCCAGCCTGTTCGTCGTACTCTCCAATGGCTTCCCAGTCCTGGATGTCGAAAGCTTCCTCGCCCATGAGTGCGTTTGCGTGCTTCAGCCCGTTGAGAATGAACTTGTGTGTTACACCGCCGCGATCGTTGTATGCATGGTAAACACGCTAGTATAGGAATCTGATCAGTGGGTGTTTGCATGCCTGTGGGGACAATAGATTTACCTCGGGATCCTTGCATGAATCGATACCGATAAGCATGGTATCGCCAGTCTGGAGAACCGCACCAAATCCAGCAAGGAATGGCGGTACTTCATGGCGCTTGAAATTGCCCAAGCTTGAGCCCAGCCAAAGGATTGTTTTCGGTTTCGCTTCGATTTCGGGAGTCTTCAGCCACTCAAGGGCATCATCATAGGTGCCATAGAGGCCAAAGCATTTGACGTGTTTGTACCCTTCTGCGTGCTTGATTAGCGAGTTTCGGCAGTTCGCGTTGCCCGGTATTGCGCAATGATAAGGAGATAAGTGTCCGGGCCACTACTACGTTGAGGTGCATGTATGCAGGCTCATGTAGGTCTAAGCCACTTTCACAGGAAACTGATGCAAGCGTGTCGCACTATACAAACCCCACGACTCCCCTCAATGTTAAGCATGATAGAATGAATCCTCACCTGTAGGTATCTCCCCAAATGTTCTCTCCAGCTCCGGCAGGGAAAGGTCGACAGCGTAGTACTCGACGTCTTTGCCAAGACGGTCGACGGCTTGCAAGAGTATGTTGACTTTTCTGAGGTTGCTGCAAACACATTAGTATTCACGAAGCACAGGGCTCGTTTCCAATCTCTTGCGCAGTGCGAGCCAGGACCGTACCCGCTCCCCAGTTCCACGACAATGGACCCCGTCGGGATTCGTTCGGCGATTTTCTCCGCATACGTCTCGAGGACTTCAATCTCGGCATTCGTTAGGTAATACCTAACATTGCGAACATTCATCAGCTTGGTGTTCATATAAACCAAGCGTGAAGCTGCTCACTCCTCTTGGTACGTGATCTCTTCGAATAGACGAAGGCCTTCTTGGCTAACAGCAGAGACAAAAGGTTAGCGTGCATCATGGGCTGACTAAATCGTTGCTTACTCGTAAAGCAGCAACGTAGGCAGCTTTTTTTCGCCGTCACTCTCAGGCCGAAGGCCTTTCTTGATATCAGCGAGGATATCCGACTCGGCAGTGTCCGTGCGTATGTCGATTATTTTGGTCGCCATCTCTCTGGGGTGTTTGGTATTGGATGCTGTAGTCAATCGGTATGCCCCTCAAGAGCCGGTCTACTAGATGCGTCTTATGCCGAGGGTCGCGCGATACTTATACAGCGCGTAAAAGTACGTAATGTGGGTACTCGGACGCTTATGCCGTGCGGTAGCTGACGGTAACTAGAGGGCCGGTAACTGTTCAAACGGAATAGTGTAGAATGCAATGCTCCGTCAGAACGTGTACTGTTTGGCTAGCGGCTGTGGTGGTAATATCACTCGCAAACACGCGACAAATCAGACACGGTTCCTTCTCACGGTCAACGGCGGTGCGAGAAAAACGCCTGTTCGAGTCGAGCACATCATCGGCAACAACCCCACCGAGGCAATCTACTCTGGTACCAATGCCATCCGGAGGCATGGTAGCTGGAACGTCAAGCATTGCTACGAGACCATAATGATGACGTCAATGTGTGCCGGCTAGGGAAAGGACGGAAGTCCGGGAGCAAAGGCAAAGAAGGTCTCGAAAACCGACGCCAAACCACCACGTCCAGGAACACGCTGCAGGGCAGGCTGAGGCTGTTCTTCGGTCGCAAACTTTCGCCGACTGTCATGTTCGTGGATGACCACACTGCCTGCTGCGGGGTCGATGCCTTGCTGCATAAGCGATGCCGTCACAGTGGAGTCGCGAACTTGTTGACACATTACCGTGCGCTCAACCATGGCTGGGCATGGCAACGTGATTGGGAAGGCGGGCGGCTTGTTGGACGCGGTTGGCATTGGCGTAGGCGGCATGGAGAGTGTCAGGTACAAGCGTATTAACGAGCAGAAACATGTGGGCAGCAACAGTGACGACCGTCTGGTGCAGGATTATCACGTGATCGGCTGTGGGCCTTGGCTTCAGCCGATGCACGACTGGGCAATAAGGTTACGATGACGCGAGGTGCAACACCGCCGCGGAAC